GGTTTTCACTGGACCCAAATCTGCCACCCATCAGGTTGTGGGTGCAAATCCACTTGCCCCATCCCCTAATGGGGGATAGGGGGCAGGTTTATCAGTTACCTCCACTAGAGTTGAATTGGGTTGGCTTGAAAGGGATCATCAAAGCTGCATGATGTCTCAATGGCTATTCAAATGAGGCCAGCTGCTCTTATCAGCGATTTTGACAGTCCCAAAAGCCTGAGCCCTTGAAAAAATGGTGCAGATTGTGGTTCGTCTAGAGCCCACAATCTTAGCAACTCACCCATGGGACATCCTGGCTTTGAAAATGCCAGTAATTTTGGGTTGTCCTTGTATACATTGTTAAGCTCAAAAGCCTTCTTTAGAACCTTTTGCTGAGTGCAGAAAGGGATGTATGAGGTTGCCTCTGCCTTTCCTGGTTCAATAGACACTAAAACACACCCACCAATCTCAGATTGGCAGGTTTATGTAGTGATATTGGAGTGTTATCAAAAGATAACTGTTGTCTGAGACATGTATGGTATGTGTGCATTGATAAACGCACTCCCTCCCCCTTCCCACCCACCCACGCCCCCGCCCCTCCAAAAGGGGCGTGTGATCCCACCCGCCCGTCTCTGAGGGGCGGGCTGATGTAAGCAAAACCCTCTGGACTGTTTTGCTTATGTCAGGGCGCCGGTGACTCTTTCCTCCCGGCCTTCAAGACTGTCTTGATATCTGGGAGGGGTTCCTCCCAGCCATTGAGACTTGTACAGCCTTGATGTCCGGGAGGGATTCTCCCGGTCTTCAAGACCTGTAGAGACTTGTACAGTCTCCAAGACCGGACGGAATCCCTCCCAACCATCAAGACTTGTACAGTCTCGATAGCTGGGAGGGATTCCTCCTGACCCTCTAGACCAGGCGCGCAGGCCAACTCACCCTTTTTTGGGCGGGTTGTACTGCACACCCTTCCTGTTACAAATGTCGTCAAACAGAGGGGCGTGTAGCAAAACCCACCCAAAAAGAAGGACGGGTCTTACTCTCCGCCCCTTACGGGCGGGAAGGAGAAGGGAGTGCATTTATCACTGCACATGGTATGTCAATTAAGGTATTTCTATTGTAATGAAAAGGGCCAAGGCTTCAACCAGGTGCAAGTTGGATGAAGGGGCTCCCTCCAAAAATAAGAAGGTGGTTATTTATATAAGTGTTAAGTGATTCTTTAAAAGCTAATTATTTAGAAGTAACGCCTCTAAATATTTGTGGTAGAATTTCTGATTTTTCTTGATTAACTTTTCTTGTCTGACTAAAAGAGACTGAGAAGTCCGGCTAAGACTGTTTCTTCCAAGACTTCAAATTATTCTGTCTCTTAGTTTTTATTCAACTTTCTTTTTTATTCAATTTGCCTCAAACACAGTTTGATCACATGTATTTAGTCTATTTAATCTGGCTATTTACCTGTGAATGAAAACTATTGGTTCTTTCATTCTTTTTCCGTGAACCATTCCCAAAAAAGGTCCTTAACCTTTTTTGTGCCCTCTTCTCAAAAATCTCTATTTCAACCGGTCAAGAACTCAAAAATTCAACACACCCCTCCTGTTACAAATGTCAGCAAACAGAGGGGCGTGTAGCAAAACCCACCCAAAAAGAAGGACGGGTCTTACTCTCCGCCCCTTACGGGCGGGAAGGAGGAGGGAGTGCATTTATCAATGCACATGGTATGTCAATTAAGGTATTTCTACTGTAATGAAAAGGGCCAAGGCTTCAACCAGGTGCAAGTTGGTGAAGGGGCTCCCTCCAAAAATAAGGGGTGGTTATTTATATAAGTGTTAAGAGGTGTGTACTAATTGATATTTCAATGGTGGTTGGTATGTATGTAAGTTAAATTGTAAGAGGGTATATAATGTTGAGCAGCACTAGAAAATTGTTGGATCACATTTTGAAATGCAATGTCACTCGCATTTCAAATGCGATGACTGCTAGCATTCAATCGCATTTGAAATGCGAGGTGAAATCACATGTGACATGCAATGTTACCGCCCATTTTCACAATGCGATCCAACAATTTTTCTAGTGCAGGTTTGTAATGTTGTAGGGGAAACACTGGTGCAGTGCTCTGCTGAAGAAAAAAAAGTTAGAACTGGGGGGAGGAGAGCATCCTTATATAGATGATAGTGAGGTATTTTGGCTTCAAGGGGAACACTACATGAGGCATTGTGACTAGATACATGAGGAGTACATATGTTGAATGGTTGAACAAGATTGGTTGGAAATGTACATCCCTGTGCATGGGGTTTGCTGCAGGCTGAATGAGAGTTTGTCATTGGTCAGGAATAAATGTGTGTTCTGCAGGTTTGTTTAATGTTTGTTGATGATGTAATATGCAGTTGTTAGGTGGTAATCAGACACTTATGCAAGTGGCTGTGCCTGCATGTATACTTTTGTACTGGTCATGCAGGACTTGTGTACATTGCTGCAACCTGCTGCACCTGCATGTATACTTCTGTATTGGTCATGTAGGCCAGTCATTCATTGCCTGTGTGTATGTATATGTATGTGATCTCCTGTCTATGTATCCTTAATGGTTTTCAATGATGGGTTTCAGTGCCAATAATGATGTAGAGTGTGAGAGAGTAGAGCTATGAGTAAACTGTGAGGGTCTCATAGGGGTATTTTGAGCTGTAGAGTGTGATTATATGGAAATTAAAAGTGATAAATAAAGAGAAAATATAGCAAATAGAGTAAGGGGGAGAAAATGAATAAAAAAAATATTTTAGGGGGTAAGTGAATTTTACAAACCATATTTTGCAACCTTTCAAGCAATTTTTCAACCCATCTATGAGTTGTAAATTATGTTTTGCAAAATTGCACAACATGGTATATAAAATTGAATTTTACAAACCATATTTTGCAACCCTCCAAAAAAAAAAAGAAAAAAGAAAAAAAAAGAGGGAGACACTATGGAATATGGAGGTACTTAACCGCCACTTTGGCCAAAAAAAAGAAAAGAAAAAACAGTCATTGCTTGGGGTGTTTAATCCCATCAATGACCAGTCAAAACCGGTCATTGATGGGGGTGCTTGGGGGTGTTTACTTCCATCAATGACTGGTCAAAACCGGTCATTGATGGGGATGTTGGGGGTGTTTACTCCCATCAAGGACCGGTCATAACTGGTCCTTGATGGGAGTGTGTCCTCCCATTGACAACCAGTGTCATAAATGGTCATCAATGGGAGGAATGTATGGCCAAATTGGCTGATGAATTTTTTTTCATTTTTTGATGGGAGTAAACACTCCAATTGATGACTGGTATTGACTGGTCATTGATGGGAGTAAACACCCACATAAATGACCCTTCAAAACTGTCCATCAATGATAGACACAATCCCATCACTTTTACATTTTTTTTTGGCCAAAGTGGCGGTTCAGTACCTCCATACTCCATAGTGTCTCCCTGTTTTTTTTCCTTTTTTTTTTTTTTTTTTTGGAGGGTTGCAAAATATGGTTTGTAAAATTCAATTTTATATACCATGTTGTGAAATTTTGCAAAACATAATTTACAACTCATAGATGGGTGCAAAATCGGTTGAAAGGGTTGCAAAATATGGTTTGTAAAATTCACATACCATGTTGTGCAGTTTTGCAAAACATAATTTACAACTCATAGATAGGTTGAAACTAATGGTTGCAAAATTCCTTGAAATAAGGCAAAAATGTACTTTTGCAAATCATATTGTTTGCAAGACATAAGGGTTGCAACATATGTGCCTTAAAATTCACCTGTGGCAATTAAAAATCTTCGGTTCCAAACCGAAGATAAATGCGGCAACATCTTCGGTTTGGGACCGTAGGCCCTGCTGAGCTGGATGAGACCATCTCCAATCCAGCTCATCCAGCTCAACTGATCAGCAAGAAAATTTTTGAATTGCGATCAGCCAACCCTTCCAGCTCACCCAGCTCATCTTCCCACTAAAAATACAGCTCACCCAGCTCCATTCACCAGTATAAATCCAGCTCACCCAGCTCAGTTTGCCCACTAAAAATACAGCTCACCCAGCTCACTTTACCAATAAGAATACAGCTCACCCAGCTCACTTTCCCAGTAAAAATCCAGCTCACCCAGCTCACTTTACCAATAAGAATACAGCTGACCCAGCTCACTTTCCCAGTAAAAATCCAGCTCACCCAGCTCAATTTGCCCACTAGAAATACAGATCACCCAGCTCCATACACCATTAAAAATCCAGCTCACCCAGCTCCATACACTTAAAAATCCAGCTCACCCAGCTCCATACACCACTATAAATCCAGCTCACCCAGCTCAATTTGCCCACTAAAAATACAGCTCACCCAGCTCCATACACCGTTAAAAATCCAACTCACCCAGCTCAATTTGCCTACTAGAAATCCAGCTCACCCAGCTCAATTTGCCCACTAAAAATACAGCTCACCCAGCTCCATACACCATTAAAAATCCAGCTCACCCAGCTCCATACACCACTATAAATCCAGCTCACCAAGCTCACTTTCCCAGTAAAAATCCAACTCACCCAGCTCAATTTGCCCACTATAAATCCAGCTCACCCAGCTCACTTTCCCAGTAAAAATCCAGCTCTATACACTGCTGATAATCCAGCTCACCCAGCTCAGTTTCCACTAAAAATACAGCCCACCCAGCTCGTTTTCTCAATAAAAATACAGCCCACCCAGCTCAGTTTCTCACTCAAAATACAGCCCACCCAGCTCAGTTTCCCACTATAAATCCAGCTCACCCAGCTCCATACACTACTATAAATCCAGCTCACCCAGCTCAGCTTCACACTACAAATCCAGCTCACCCAGCAGATTTTCTCACTAAAATACAGCTCACCCAGCTCAACACACCACTATAATTCCAGCCCACCCAGCTCATTTTCCCAATACAAATCCAGCCCACACATCTCATTTTCCCAATAAAAATCCAGCCCACCCAGCTCCATGCACCACTAAAAATCCAGCACACCCAACTCAGTTTACCACTAAAAATACAGCTCACCCTGCTCAGTTTCCCACTAACAATCCATCACACCCAGCTCAGTTCCGCAGTAAAAATCCAGCTCAACCATCTCATTTTCTCACTGAAAATAGAACTCACCCAGCTCCATACACCACTAAAGATCCAGCCCACCCAGCTCTTTTTACCAATTAAGATAAAGCTCACCCAGCTCAATTCACCATTGAAAATCCAGCTCACCCAGCTCCATACACCACTATAAATCCAGCTCACCCACCCAGATCAGTTTCCCACAAAAAATACAGCTCACCCAGCTCTTTTTACCAATTAAGATAAAGCTCACCCAGCTCAACTTCCCAATAATAATCCAGCTCACCCAGCTCAGTTTCCCAGTAAAATTCCAGCTCACCCAGCTCCATACACCACTGAAAATCCAGCTCATCCAGCTCCATACACCAATAAAAATCCAGCTCACCAAGCTCAGTTTCCCACAGAAAATACAGCTCAACCTGCTCTTTTTACCAATTAATATAAAGCTCACCCAGCTTAATCTGCCCACTAAGATTACAGCTTACCCAACTCAATTTGCCCACTAAGATTACAGCTCACCCAGCTCAATTTCCCCACTAACATTACAGATTACAGCTTTCCCAGCTCAATTTCATACTCATGCAGCTCAACTTACCCACTAAATTTCTAGCTCACACAGCTCAATTTCCAGCTCACACAGCTCAATTTCCAGCTCACCCAGATCAACTTCCCTCCGAGAAATCCAGCTCAACAAGCTCATTTTCCTCTACAACTTCCCTCCCTGAAAAAAATTTTGGCTCACAGGGAATTTTCACAGCAAAAAATTGAAACCTAACCCACAGATCAAACTTGAGCCGGAGCTGAACCAACTCAACCCCAGTTCCCAACTTATCCTTCCAGTGCAACTCAAACGGAACTCAGCCCACCCAACTCAGCCAACCCAACTCAACCCATCCAACTCCGCCCACCCAACTCAGCCCACCCAACTCAACCCACCCAACTAATCAATCTCAGCACCAGAACCACCTGATGGCTGCAACTCGATCGACCCAAGCTCACCAAACGCGCAGCAGCTCAAAAAGGACCAGTTCCGCTGCAAAGACCCAGGCCACCCATAAAAAAGGTCATGCAGTCAGAAAGCAAGCTAGCTCTTCCAGAAAGAAGGCAAAATCCGGAAAGCGACAACCTAACCATACTGATGAGAATACGGACGAAAATACTGATGAGGATGACCACCACGATACCACCCCTGAGCCCACAGCAACCCAGCAACATAGGTCTTCTGCAACTGAGTCTGGCCAATGTAACTCCGGCTCCAACAATATCCAACTAACTCTTGACAACTTCGAAAGCCAATTAGACAATTGGTCAATACTTCAACTGCGCCAAACACTCAACAAAAACAAAGACACCCGATCCAATAGGATTCCACCTGAAGTTCAAGATCGACTCACATTGCTTCAGAAAAACTACACCAAAAGCAAGCTCATGCTTGGTTTGATTGGAAATATTAGTGAAGGTACTGTTAACAAATGGCTGTGAGTGATCCCAATGTTACATCCACAATAGCTTTGGTGGATTGAAATAGATGAAAGAACTTATTTGCAGGGGTGAAAATAAACCTGCTAGAAGAAAAAGTGGTTGGAATCGGTATGTAGCATTTAGTGTGGAGAGTGCAAACACCCCTGGTGAGTTTCCTTATCTTTTCTACCCTTTCCCAACAAATATGGACCATACTAATCCCCTACCCGCAGTTCCTCCTCCTGGATGCTCAATTGGTTGGGAAGAACGCAATGTTCACCTTGGAGAAGCTTGGGCTTTGCTTTCTGAAGAAGAGAAAGATGTTTTTAGTCCGGTCATCTTTCAGTATTTCTCAAAAATACCTTGCCAACCGGACACTGGGGACGATGATGAAGACACCGAAATCGAACTCACTCCTGAAGAGATCGAACTCTACCAACCCCTCTATGCGAAGTTAGTAAACCAAGAAAAAGTCAATTTAATTATCTCTGAAGGAGTCCATATTGGCATCAACAACTCCAAGGCATTTGAGCAGGTGGAAAGGAGTGTAGACAAGTTGAATGGAGAAGTCAGTCATTCACTGTTTGCATTAATTTTTCAGTACAATGCTAACCCATTCCAAACGCACAGCTCTTCACCATGTCGACCTTATACAACACAACTTACTACCTCCTTGCTGCGACAAGGGACAGCGGAGTCAAAAGTTTTTGTAAAGAGTGGTCCAACGACGTTGCTTGGCTAGCTCTTGCCAAGAAGAATTGGAAAGCAAAAGAGAAGTTCGAGGCTTACAGTCACGGAAGAGAGATACAAGAGGCAGTCGAGGATGCAAGTGGGGTTAGCACATCAAAGCAGCTTAGGGAAGCCGATCAACTGAAAAAGGATCTTCGAGCAGCTCTGAACCAAACACTCGGTAAGTGTAATTATATAGCCTTTCAAAAATATAAGTGTATTTTTTCTGAATGGAAATACTTTCCCTTCAGCAAACACTCTTGGAATTCCGGTCAAAGGTTGTATCTTCCCAAAGGTACCTAATCCTTCGGCTTGTTTGCTTAAGAAGAATCGCCGACTGGAAATAGTGCAGTCAGAAGGCTCAACACTTCCTAAGGAAGAATTGATGAAGGGGTTCAATAAAATGGAAAACCCTTTCAAGAAGACTGGATTGATGATATCCGATCTGGAGCATTTAAAATAGTACTTAGTGATAATTAAATCAAGTTGAAGCCCTGTTCAAACAATACGAGTTGAATATAACTGTTTTTTACTCTTCATTTTATTTCAGTCTTTATGAAATGATAGAAAGATTCCTCTGGTGAATTCGACAAGCTTCTGAGGAATTTGACACAAAACCAACACTTTAAAATAACAAGAAACAGATTCAATCTAAGCCGAACAAGATATTTGTTTTCTATCTACATCATTTCTCTTCTTCTTTTTCTAGACTCTAGTTTTTGTTGGTGAAACACCTGGTTAACTGATTCACTACTGTATCTGGGATAAACCGGAAGCCAATATCGTGGATTGCTATAATTCTATAAAATATAACCATCAGGATAAGTTTCAAACGATATAACTATATGGAGTGAAGTAATGTTACCTTGTTACCTGCTGCATGAGCAGAGGATCTTGCCACAGCTGAAAATGAGCTTGAGCGACTCCAAAAGGCTACAGAATATTGACGAGGGGGGCCTTGCAAATCCGGCGGAAAGTAGAACTGTGCAACACCATGTAAGAGTATACGAAGGGGACCGTGGAAAGAATGGCCGTGTAATCCTGGGTACGCCACCCCCAAAGACGGAAGGAGGAATTCACCGCCTTGGTGATTACCAAAAAAGCAGGTGGAGTCAAACAGTAATGAATTCTTCCGATCCCTGTGAGTGCGGACTTGATTGTTCACACTGATAGTGCGAGCTAAATATAAACAGTAATCAGGTTATATATTCAGTACATCATATTTCATGCATCACCCACATGCAATTATTGGATTGTTTTCATGCAATAGGTTTTCTTGAAGAAGATCTGATCCGGCATTCTTAAGGTAGTTGACAGCCTCTTCCGCAACTCTGGATGATTCTGGTAAGAAGGATTTGTTAATCCACAAGGACAGTTTGGAATAAAACGTGATCTCATTTCGAAACTTAGCCATGGCCTCGTTGTGTTTGGTGTTTTGACTATCCCTTAGTGGATTTGGGAGTACGGGAACAGGTGCATTCATCGACCTCCATGCGTCATCAAACCCTTGAAGCTCTGCTGGATTGATCTTTTTCTTGTGGATTGGGATCTTGAGGTCGGCCATGCCCTTCGATTTTTTCTGAATAAGAAGTCACTCAGCCCCGTCATGTTTGAAACAATCAGAACATACTCACATCACCTAATCCGTATCCATATGCTTGAAAAGATATGCTTGATTTATCTTCTGCTTTAGAACCACGTGATTCGCCTTTGTTGGACTTGTTGAGTGGAAAGGGGCTCATGGGCACACCGGGACGAGGTTGGGAGGAAAATTCAAGGCCTGCCTCAGAGGTCTCCAATGATAATTTGGAAACCATTTCGTTGAGAATTTCCTCAGCCCTGGACTGTTCAAATAAGGGGAGATAGATGTGTTAGTTAGATTATACAGAAGTTTAATGATCAGCTCATGCATGTTTGACATACAGCAGGTGGTAAATGGACTGGACTGTGAGGTGAGATGGGTGGTACTCCAACACCAATACAAATACCTGCTTCATCCAACAACACAACCATGTGTTCATTGGTGAGAATTTGACACCGTCCCTGCATCGAAATTGAGTGGTCAAGCACGTCTGAATAGGTCGGGTATCGAAGGCAGAAAGGCTTGGCTGCAGTAATTTTTTCGTCGTAGTTTTGAATGGTTATCTTGACAGCTTGGGCAGCATGGAGGAGTTGGCTTTGGAGAGCGTTCTGAGGGGGTAAGTCACCGCCAAATTGATCAATTAGCATCCTGATGATCAGCCTGATGTGGTGCTTTGGGCCCATCTCTTGCATCAAGAAGACAGCAAGTAGGTCAAAATCGGTGACAATGGTGTGGTGATCGGTGTGCTGCCTATGGAGATCCTTGCAAAATTGTCGGACTAGGGTGTCTACGTCGGTTTTGGTGTACTCAATACCCCGGATGACTGGCCGCTCTTCAAGTTCCATGTTGCTGAGGAAACATTCATCCGGTCAGTGTTGGTCTTTGAGCACATGTCCAGCATGATCTAACTGCGCCATGGTTCCAGGGTAGGAACCAACCCCCCCCTGACTAGTACGCCTGGTTCAGGTTGGTCCCACAATATGGCAGTGAGTGGACATGTACGCCGCACCCCCTGCCATACAGCACCCGCAAAAAGTTGGCCTGTTCAGAGATGTTGGATAATGGATTAGGGATGTGTGATGTTGCATCTGAACTCACATGTTTTAAGGGATTGGCGAGGTTTACAAATAACCACGTGGATGCCAGATGGGGAGGAGCGTTGATGGACGTGTCTCTAACAGTATACGAACAGGGGTGGGAAAGGGGAAAAAGGAAAAGTGATCAATGCCAATGGGTCAATCATCAAGAGGAAGGGACAGACAGTTAGACAAGGGGTGGGGGAGGGGAAAGATCAGCAAGAGATAGGTGAGGGACAGGCAATGATTTGATAAAGAGTGGTGATTGGTGATCAGCAAAAGGCATGAGACTCACATTGCTTTTTTTGGTGGGCTGGTATTGCGATGAAAAAGCAGTTCAATTTCGAGAAAGTTGTAACCTATTACACAGCAACAATGAGGGGGGTTAGTTTTACCCCTTCTTCTAACTAGATGATGGGAATGGATAACATGCACAAGGGGGAAAATGACTTGCCTTTATGTCAAGCACAACACTAGCTTCGGACCCTTGATCCTGTTTGGCTTCAGATTGAGAAGAACGATGGAGAGCGGTTTGATTTTGTCGTTTGCTTATGATTGGGAATCCCGAGGACTTGATAGTGGTTGGCTTTTGATTGGGATGGACGAGGACTTGATCGCGTTTGGCTGGAGTTTAGCTTTTGATTGGGAGGACCGATGAGATGGATTTGACTTCGGTTTTTCGGACCCTCGACAGCTGGTGGGTGGTGGGTGGACTTGGGTCACCAAGCGCTGGGGCCGCCGGTTTTGGGGGTGGGTGGTTGGTGGGTGACACAGCCCTGTCACAGGAGATTGCCCCGTCGTCTGGATGCTTGATGGGAGTACTGGTTGTTCTCCTCTTCAGGAAGCCTCGGGACTGACTCCGGCTCAACAACAACAAGAATAAGAACAGCAGCAGCGACAGGATGAACGAGAGTCGCAAACAAAATATCATAGAAGAATACGGCCTCGAGGATCTGGAGTCGGACAACAAAACGAATTCCCGCGTTATCTTTGTGACTTCGCGAGTTTAATGGCAATCTCTTACCCCTTCCGTCGGTGGTCTCAACACGCCTTTCCCTTTGTTGAAAGTTGCAAGTATGTCAAATCTCTTTGCTATCTTATCATTTCTTGTCCATCCCAATCTATTTATACATATACATACTCGCTTTATATTGACTAGTTTCCTGGTAATAGTATAATCAATCCAAATTGGCTATTGGGCTAAGGCTAACATCACCCTGATCAACTCCAAACCGAGCAAGATGATGTCCTTCATCAGATCATATCCCAACCTAATCCCCAAACTACTCGCCCACTTTAATTCCTCACCGATCGTCGACGTCCTCATGAGAATCATTCAATCAGAACAGACTACCGATGGCACGATTGATTGGCTGATTGACTCGACCGACTTTGTCGAACTGATCATCAGTCTCCTCCATCCATCTCGAACCCCAGACCTGCATTGTTCGGTAGCCGAATTCCTCAAAGATGTCATCGCCTTCTGTACCAATCAAGTCATCTCCACCTCTCCCTCACCCAACCTGCCCAATAAAGTCTCTAATGGCTCCCTGCCCGGTGCCAAGGGTGGCCCCACCAGCTCGCCCGACCTTGCTCGCCCCGTCCCTGGGCCCTCTATTCAACAATCGTCCGATGACTCAGAAGACCATCCCAAATTCATCACCTCTAGGCTCATGCGCGAATTATCCAGCTCAGCAGTGGTCTCCAAACTACTCTCCTTTGGACTTGGCACCCCGGTTTCAGAGGATGATGGCGTTATCACCAACACAAGTCTGGCCTCCTCACTCATCAACTCACTCTCAGTCGTCATCGACCTGATCCGCCGAAACAATTCTGACTACTCCGAGCACCAATTGATGGTCTATCTTCGGGACTATCCGCCCGCTCCAAGAGTCGAGGAGAAAGGCAAGCCGTTGGAAGAAGGCCATGAAAAGCCACTAAGCGACAGCGCAAGTCTGTCTCACTTTCTCTCTCTCTCTCCCCTAAAATAATTGAGTTTTTCATTTCAATAGCTCAACAACCTCCACTTCGTCGACACCATCCTCTACTCCGACCCCCGCGTCCTCGACACCGTCCAGCGGATTGGCAACAACACTAAGGCGGATAAGAAGGTCGCCGAGGGCGGTCATGTGGCTTGTCAGATGTCCCATCGGTTGGCCATCGGGGCCGCTGACGCTGATGACGACGAAATCACATTGATCCTCAAAGGTACCATATCATCTTCTTCTCTCCACCGCTTCCTTTGTTTTTCTCCTCATCACTCATTTGTCGTTCTCTCTCTCTGTGGATTCTCGGGTCGGTTTCGTTCAGACGATGTCGATATCGAGGCCGTGTTCAAATACCTCGCCGGGACCATCCTGAGGGACGTCCCTAAGGACTGGGATATCATCTTCTTCGGCCATACCGACTTCAGCAACAAGGCCCGAAACGGGCCGGACCCATTGACACATCTACAAGTCGGTCGAGCCGCAAGGTGAGCAATGATTTCCTTAGTATCAACTTCAACCACCCCGAGCCCACCAGCGGCCAACCCCATCAAGCAAACCAGCCATTCAGTAATTTCGGTCATCCGGTAATTATCTATTTCTCTCTCTTCTCAGAAATATCCACTCAACTATTGAAGATCCACGAGGGGTGAAGGGTTATTAATTTTAATGCCCTGGACTTTCACTTCTAGTCGGAGAAGAAGACGAAGTGTCAATAAAGCAGGTTGCGGATGTCATTGTCAAAGCAGTGGGATTTGAAGGAGACTATTCGGTTAATTACGGTTTCATCATTATCCTGAGAGTGTGTACTCAAAAACCTGACTTTATCTCCCCCAAAAAATTCTTGCAGTTCGATACAACAAAAGCAGATGGCCAATATAAGAAAACCACAAGCAATTCAAAACTGAAGCGATTATTGCCCGATTTCAAATTCACACCTTTTGAAACTGGTAAGTGTTTCCTCTTTTTTCATCCATTTCATTGCTTTCATGTTTGCTTGTTTGATCTACAATTCAGCTCTTGAAGAATCAGTGAAATGGTTTGTTGAAAATTACAAATCTGCGCGAACTGGTCCAAAAGATTCGCAAAACCCATGAGTAGTAACAGCCTCTTATCGCAATTTTCCACTCCATCCTTCATATAGTTTGAATCGATCTATCTCTTCATCTCTTTTCATTTAGGTATTCATTCTACTTTTGCATGTTGTTGCTGTCCATTTTATTAGCTTTTAGAACTTGTGGACATATATATGTGAATGAAACAGACCACAGCCCCGCGGCTTATCAGGGTCCAAGTAGATGGCAAACAGCAACTGGCAAAGATAACTGCGCTGAATAGCGTCCATCGCTCCCTTGTCCTTGAGTGACGATTCAAACCCCAAAGCCATCAGCAGGGTCATTTGCAACCCACGAGGTAATCCAATACTTTATCGGTCTCTTCTGAAGCACCGCGGTTGATTTGCTTCACTCTAATATAGCCACGCCCTTCGCGCCCTGTTTTCTTCTGGCCTTCAGCAGCCTCATTGTACGTTTCAGAAAGATCTGGGCCAATCCTATAGATTCCTTTCTTTAGTAAACAAGCCAATGAAATAGAGATAGGCAAGCCAGCCTACAGGCTTACCTATCGGTGAAACATTCCTCGGGAAAATTCCTGAATCAGGATTTTGCCCACATTGAGACTTTGAGAAGAGGTCATCCACTAGGTATCGGTTGAAACCTTTGAATTGATAGCGTTCTTAGACTTCATGGGTTTTACATTGTATGATTTGTTGGAAGAAGAGAAAGTTGGAACGGGGAGCCACTCCTTGAAACAAAAAAACGTCTTGGCTCTATCATTTCGTGAATGATAAGAATTAAGACCTACCATCTGGGTTGACATCTGGATCAGCTCGTCTACCCAGTTCAATCAAAAGATTCTAGCTCCTGGGTGACAGAGCTTGATAATACTATTGTGCCTCAATTTATGAGGGGGAGATAGAGGAGATTTGAAAGTCCAGGAAGAAGTCCTCCCATGTTTTCTCTGGCACCTATTTTTAATAACTATGGTCCTCTAGATACAAGATTGGCTTTGTTGACTATTCTTTGGATCCATTATGAATTTTGAATACTGCAAACCTGTGATGTGTATTGCGTCCAGGTTGAACTGAACTTCAGACATCAGATATGTATAAGGAGTTCTAAACTCACAATGAGAAGGAGGTATTTTCTGCATGGATAATTTGTGTTGTTGGATTTGGAGTGTGTAAGTGCATATATATACATCAAGCTGGAGCCAAAAAGAGGAAAAAAATTATATGCTGTGTGTATGAATCTAGGTAATTGTGTAAAATAAAACCTTCTTCTTCAATGTCATCATCATCATCATACATGAATCCAAAAAAAAAATGTGTTGCAAAAAAAAAGAAAATCATTGGGGAAAAAAGGGTAACATTAAAGCAAGAGGTTTGATTTTTGGTCAATCATAGGATTGACAAAGCTATCAAACAAGAAAACACCATCTCTTGTGCTCCCATCTACTCAGGACATGAGACCAAGATTGCAGGCTGATGGATTGTTGCCAGTTTGTATGTAATGGGCCCTCCACCAATCTGAAGCGGGAAAACCCTCTAATTCTCAGACAAGGATGTTTGGGGGGTTCTATTGATTTGCGCACCGGTATGAAAGCTTCTTCTTCCATCTGATCTTTCTGCATAGCTGAAGGATGTGCTCTGAGGTTTCCAGCTAAATGGAAACAATCAATTAGATAGATGGCAGCAAATATTAGATTATATTGGAAAATCACCTGTCAAGTAGGTAATAACATTAAACAATGAATGACTCCTATCATACATGATAAATCATGGCCCCATAAGTTGACAGGATTTGTAGTGACAATGTGACCCAGACCTTTTGTGGGTACTCAAATGGTTTACATATGGGAGAATCTTAATCAATAATAATGCTATAATAAGTGAGAGACATCTGCTATCCAAGCCTGTAGACCAAGATATACCTGAGGCCCCAACTCTCTATCCTCTATAACAAATGAACATTTCATGGAGCAAATAAATATCCACCAGTATCTTTCATGATTACAGTCAAATCATTCCCCGTTGCCTAAGAATAGAGAGTGTAATTGTTCACTTCTCTTAGATTTTGAGGCAATGACACTTGAGACTCATTACACTCATTATCAGCAATCTTCTGTCAAGTAATGTTGAGAAAAGTGATTCTTGCACCACAAACTGCTAGTGATGGGCTGAGTTAGAGGATTATCACAATGAAATTCAGTTACATATGAGCCAAAACTCTTGCTTGACCCCACCATTGTTTGAAGCTAAGTTTGGAATGTGAAGGAATAGTTTTCTCATGATAATAGCTCAGTTGGTTTTTTTAGTATCCCACATGAATTGCTTCAGGGTAGGGTTCCGCCCTTTGATGAGTTATCACCACCAATGCTACTTTTTGGTATTGCTTGGGAATTCATGCTTATGGACCCTGTTCCATGATAATGGTCAACCAGGGGATCACTGATAATTATGCCCCTCAAATGGTCATTCAGTTGGATCATATTCTACATATAAGTAAATTATTTTTTCCCACAAAAACATCCCAGGGACAGGCTTTTTACACCAATTGGCCTACCATGATAATGAAAATGTTATTGAAAAATAAAAAGAAGATGAATCCAGGACTACACTGTGGCTAGTTTATAATAGAACAACACCACAGTGTAGGCCTGGATTTTACCAAGATGTTGAATGAATTTTTTCCATAAGGATCAGCTTTTGGATGCTCAAATTGAGGCACCACCTAATCCTATAATTTTCTCCATCTGGAATGGCTATAGGGAATAACTTACTCCTGCAGAGCACTAGGGAAGGGGGACTCGGATGAGGTCAGTGATGGGGACAAATGGAGCCTTCAACCCGGGGGAAACTATGTGTCAAGCACCAGGGGTTCTGTTTTGACTTCGGCTGAGTTTCATTTCCTTCCAACTCAGGGCGATTTAGTCAAACACCAACACTGACTTCGGCTGAGTTTCATTTCCTTCCAACTCAGGGCGATTTAGTCAAACACCAACACATCTAGTACTACACCAACACCAACATGCCACCATTCGAAGGAGAAGGAGGAAAGAAGCGCAAGAGAAGTCGAAGACCAGCTACTTCATCATCAATTTCCTTGGCCAAGGCACTCGAACTTGAAAGACAACACGCATTGCAAGACTTGTCCTCGAACCCACCCAACGATCCGCCGAGTAATCACACCTCAAGAGGCCTCCCGGATGAATCCAATCCCGATGTCAATGACTTTGAATCGGATCGTCAACATTATGAAGATCACCAAGAACTCGACAATGACTATGAATCTGATACTCGGGTGCAACTACTAGCGGATTACTTTCGGTCCGAGCATTACAAAAGGAGAAAGCTTTTGGAAGAGCAACATTGGCAGGAAGTTTATGATAAGATGTTTACTTCTTTCCATGATTGTGCAACAAAGACTTCGCATTGGGGTAACCAGATGTTATGGGATACCGATTGGAAGGCTGAGTGTGAATGCACTCTTACTCGGAAAAGGCCAGTAGTCCTGGTCGATCTTTTAAGTGTGTCCTATTGATCTATGTTCCATTGAGTATAACCAACACTAATCATGTCTCAATGCTAAATTCTTTTTGTGATCACAGGTCGAAGAGAAAGCAGGATCGAGTTTTGTGATTGCCAGCCTGACCAGGTCCGACTGATTCAAATGGGATACATCGGTGGAGCCCCAAAATTTCCAAGAACTGCATTCTCGATCAGACTACTTCAGTTTCATCACATAGTCTGGAAGCACAGTGCTATAGCACTGACCCCATTTTCCAAGGCCCTTGATGAACATTTGGATTTCAACAGCCCTCTCATCTTGGTAAATCGACCTGAATTGGAAGAAGAAGGGACTTATACAGTAAGTTAATGCTCCAATGATCAATCCACCATACTGATACCAGGAACATTCTAAATCTTCAGACTCGCCAATGGCGGAAAACACTTTTGTCCGCCATTGATGCGTATCGAGAAATGCTTCACAGAGAAGAGCACCTATCGGAAGAGCTCCTACAGATGTCAAAAATCGATAAATTGGCCGAACTTTGCCCAAAGTGCTTTGGACCCACGGTCCCAGGCAAGAAAGAAGATGAACCAGATTATATTGTTTGCATGGACGGGAATTTTCAATATCGAAGACACAAGGCTGCGAGCAATGAGATCATTCCCCTGAAAACCCCGAGCCTTTTTATCAATCCTGACAAGGTTGAAGCCATGGCCATATCCATGAGCAATACCAGGATCGCTGATGTGGAACCGGAATCTTCTAGTGTAAGAACATTTCTTTCTTGAATAAATTACCCTTCAGATTGACACACATTTTGAACTTTTAGGACCGGTGCACCGACCAACATACAGCCGCCAATGATGTCCGTGGAGGACACACATGGAAAGCATGTGATGACACTGGTATTTTTGGAATGGCATGTCGCCATGACCAAATTTTGAGCCTCATCAACATAGTGAGAAGCGGAGAAAGGTGTGTTTTTATATTTGTGAATCATCTCTTCATTCAGTAAAGTTACTCAAGGTGCGACATATTTTTCAGAGCCTATTTCCCAATGACAATGATCAACTATCTTCTCAAATCTACTCTAACCCATGGAGGTACCCCAAAGAAATGTGCATTTCTCTACGACATAGGTTGCAACATTGAAAAAGGAATATCAAGGGTATGTGTTGCTACCTACATCAATTGAATTAAACCTTTTCAATCATCATATTGAGCAATTTTTTATTAATTATGGATATCATACTTGTCAGAGGGATCAATTTTCAGAAGAACGATCAAATAATCAATTGAAGTTTGGTACCAGCGTCTTCCATGCCTATGTGCACGAATGGTCTTGCCAACTGAAGTACAACCCAAGGATAAATGAAGGTTGGGGTATGTCTGATGGTGAAGGAATGGAGCGGATTTGGGCATATTTATCACCACTGATCAGTTCCCTCAGATATTCAACAAAAAACAATCGTCTTTTGGCATTACATTTCCGATCAACCCACCATAACCAAGTTGGAAAAATGCATGCTTGTAAGGATCCCGCTGAGTTTTACATATCAGTTTCCCAAGGTGATTTATTTATTCAATCACAGTCAAGCTATTGTTGGATCGTGGTAAAACTATTGAGAAGATGATGAGAACTTCTCAAAAAGAATTACAGGAAATTTCAGATCAACATGGTCACCACACTGAATATCTTAAAAACCAATGGTTTCGTCAGAGAGCATGCCAGCTTTCCCAAATGGAAACTGACTCACAGAGCGATTTGAAAAAACAAGTAGACCAATTGATAGATTTGGAAGACAAACTTCGAGAAGCACAGTAAGAATTCATACAAACCTTTGAAACCATAGCCTGATTTTTACCTGAACACTTGACCATTCTTCTGTGCAGTGAAGAGATGGTTGAGATCCAACACCGACAGAGGAGGACTCAAACTGTGGATCAGGTCAGACGCATGGACGAGCTACCAAGCACCTTAATATGGTTGGAGCAACAGATTGAAGGAATAGTTGAAGAACTGGGTTCTGAGTTTTTTGAGGGTGTTTCTGGTGCATCAAGTGAGTAATTTGCAACCCAAATGCACATTTCAAATAAAAAATTTAAACATGAGTGATTATAGATCCCCAAAAAAAACACTTAATCAAGATGAAGGTCAGCAAGTCAAAACTTTATGAAGCTAAAGTTGGTGTATGTGAAGTCCAGAAGAAATGGGACCAAAGGGGATCAGGTTTGTTCCATTCTTGTGTTTTTTTGAATTTAGAAATAAATATTAGTATTGAAGCAAATAAATGCAAAACATGCAGGCACACGTGTTCAGGCTTGATTTAAAAAGCTTATGAATTCTAAAATGAAGCTACTTAAGAGCAAATGGACTTCGTACAACCAGAAGGCCAATTATTACAACACAACGTATTTGCCAGAAATCCTCGTTTCCACTCCCACTTTCGAATCAATCAAATCCATGGATTTATCTGACCAATTCTGGAACATGGGCGCCTTGACTCATCCTGACGAACCCTGGGCAGTCAATCCACATGTCCAGAAAGGAATTTCAGCATACTTGACAGTCAGTCATTGTCAAGAAGAGCTATCTCCTGTTGCAAGGGAGGCCAGACAGGCCATCAAATGGGCCATTTCACAAGAATCACGCATGGTAAAACTGTTAGACTTGTTACAAAGAGGTGAGCAGCCCATTTGAATAATTTTATCACCAACTAAAAATTTGGAAATCAGTGTTCATCACCAACTAACAAATTGGACATATGTGTGTTCAAAACAGAAAATCCGACTGATTTTGAATCTGAATTGTGTGCCAAACATAGCTGCTCAAGATTGGTCCTCGACTCAATCTATGATAACCTGGCCAAGAAAAACTGCCTGGTGTGGATGGCTTGGAACTCTCACTGTCACGAGCTCCTCCGATGGAGTAAAAAATATCTCAATATGGAAGACCCAGATGACAGAAATATGGAACAGAGCTGGGATCTAGTTATAACTCATTGCAAATCAATGTGGGAAAAACTGATCAACCAAGATTCAATAATCATGGAGCTAGAAGATCATGAAGAATATGAAGAGGAGGAAATGTTACAAGAAGAAGAATTGCAGACCCAAGTTGAAAATGATGAAGATATTCTTGCAGGGGAAGATGAGGAGGATTAATATTAATTTTCCAAGTAATCTGATCTGTAATAAACACCTTCCTAATTATTCACTGCCAGTAGTTTTGAGCCATTGTTTCAACTCAAATACACTTTTTGTTGTCATTGATATGTGTGGCTGGAGCACCTGGATAAACCAATCCAAGACTGGGTATCTTGTTGGTTGGGTGTGTGTAAGCAAATTTGCGAGGTGATTGTGTGTCAATGCCATGGGGCCAGGTGGAAGTCTGTTTTACAAAATATGAGACAGATTTAAGTGCCATTTCCTAAGATGATTTGGAGGTGATGGGCTTTGGGGCTATAGTGTACTATAGCTGGATAACAGCCAGTAGGAAAGAACCTGAGTTCAGCACCATTAGGAAGAAGACAATTTAGCCCCCTTGGTTACAGAGTGCACACCTGCAGGATTAGCTTGGCTGAACTGAGCTAGACTTGAACAAATGTAACTCTCTTCTAGGCTACAGTCATGTATTTCATGTAGTCTAGGGCCTACTTACAAGATAGTGGGAAGAGTTGGAGAATGGAGGGTGTACAGATAGAAATTTAGTATAATAAACCCCAATCACTCAATTGGAAGTAAGAAACTTGGGTATGTATGTCAATAATGTCTTGGGGAAGGAATGCTAGATGGAAAGTCTTCCCCTCAAGTGTCTGCCTAGCAGACCATTGAAGGCCATGCAAGGAAATGTGTGCAATTACATAAGTAATTCTTAGAATATATAATTGTGGTATGATCACACCAGCCCTGGTGTAAATTAGATCATCTGTCTCTTGTGAAATGAATTCCCAGAGATAGATAAATCAAGTTATCCATAAAAGGAGGAATCTGTCTAATTACTGAAAGCACTTAAGAGAGAGATGATTAAACTTCAAAACAATTCAGTGATCCAGACAGAAGAAGTTTATTCCAATAGCGCAGCAAATGGGATAATTGTAATTGTATTCCTCATGTATTATATTTTTGAACTTAATGATTCCAATTAATTGTATAAAATTCCTTCAGATGATGTTATACTATGTCTTGACTCACATATGTTCCCCCCAGTTGGAATACACTGTATTTGTGAGAATTTGTATCAGGAAGAAATAACATACATGAAATATACAGATCCACATCTGAGGTATCAGTTGGACCTGGTAAGAGGAGTAGTTTTGAGTCCCCAGAAGTTTAATTTCATTTAACTACAAATGCAATTTTCCAGGGCAGAAACACATATCCCTCTCCAATATACCACTGAATATCTATATATGGGGGCTTATTAATTGTCCCAGATGGCTGGTACATAAACTAAGACTACATTGAAAAAACGTGAGGGGGTCCAACTTGAACGTAAAAAGGTGGAGAGGAACAAGATGAAATGCTTAAACTGTGTAATGCAGATTCCACCCCATATCTATAATACACTAAACATCACCCAATCAATGCCATGCCACTCTCCAGACCAGTGTGAGAACACCTTTGGGAATGGTGGCAGTCCTGTGAGGGGGAAATAGTAGATGAGATATATCACGTATCTAATGAGCTACTACAACTTTTACGGCTGGTTTGAAGGACATGCCCCTCTATTGTACTACACAAGAGTTAACACAAAAATTTACTTATTTTTGTGGAATGATAGAGAAAACTATGTGTAGCAGTCTATTATCAAACCTAGAATCACGTGGATTCAAGAGACTAATTGAGTGGAATTGCTGAGTCAGAGGTGTTTTTCATATGTTCATGTATTTTTTTTTTTGAAATATGATTGACGTAAGCACTGAATCAGCTGATAATGAATTGGAATTTTTGAGATGATGCCGAGGAAAAATGTGAATATTCAAGGTGTGTTGTCCTTATTCTTCCTTAACCTTGGTTGGGAGCACAGTGGCTTAAGATCAATTTCCCTTGTTTTAAGAGCACAAGTTGCACTGGTTATTACTTTCCTTTTTCTATGTTTCTCAAGGTATGAAATATCTTAATGGGGCACTTTGATTAAGATCACACTCATTAATATAAGGATAGATTAATATCTCTGTCAGTTTAATGATCAGATGATCTGATGTAGATGATAAAAAATTGTAATGAGGGGAAAAGCCCTCCTTCAATAGTCTATTTTACAACTCAGCTGGCTTGTGGTTCTAGCACTAACCAATAATCTATAAATGGCAAACTTGTGGCTCTAGACCTAACATGTAAATACCTAATTACTAACTTGTGGCTCTAGCCCTAACAAATAATGAATATGCATGTAAAACGTGGCCAAGATGTTCCACCATTACTTAATTGACTGGTTTGAAAAAATTCACCCTTTTTCAAACATTTTGGTTCCTCATTTAACCCCTTTTGGGGCCCATTGATGCAAAAAAAGTTTTTGGGAAAAGTGACTGGTTTCCAATTGTGGATTTCCTATATTTGATACCCCCTAGTGTAGATAAAATCAACACGGCCAAGTTGTGGTTACACTATGCAATGAATATTGAATATGTAAGCAAAATAAGGTGGTTTACATTATGAAATAAGCATTTTGTATGCAAATAAAATTTAAATCCCAAATGGCACAATCAAAATCTACATCAGATATATATAACAATATATAGCCTTCTCAATAGTGGACTGTTATTTTATGAAATTTGATACTTGGAACACAATTTGCACACTAAACTGGGGCTGACACTGATCACATAGGCACTTGATGAAGGAAATTCAATCTTCATCACTTTTTTGACTCATCTCATACCCAGTCTCTTTTGAATCTGTTGAATTTTTGGCGAAAAGGCCGGAAAAAATAATACTTTTAACTCAAGTTGGAAGGGCTCAAGTGCTTCACAACTAAGACTGAAGAAGGGCTAAAAGTGCTTCTTCAGGAAAGTCTCAGAAAAGAATAAAGAACCAATAGTTTTTCATTTTCAAGCTGCAGTGAATATGAGTTAAATATTCTAACTACAAGAGGTTCAAGTTGTGGGTCTAAGAACTCATGGCATAAAAAAATAAAAGACAATGGCTGTTGAATAAGATTGTGACAGGTGAGTGAAAGGAAAGAAGAGAGAGACGAGCAAAATTTCAACAGAAACCCAACTAGAGCATGGCATCTGAAAATAAATTGCCTCATACCTTACTCATCTTTAGAACCCTGAAGAAAATCTAGGATCTTCAACCTGAAACTCTCCAGCGGTGAATAAAGTCTCTCCAGCTCTGAATCAAACCTCATCTGCCACCAACCTCCTTCCTAGTCTTTCCCTTGAAGTGCTCAGACCTCTTCCTGCATCTTTTGTTGGGAAACTGAGCTGGGTGAGCTGGATTTATAGTGGGCAAATTGAGCTGGGTGAGTTGGATTTTTACTGGGAAAGTGAGCTGGGTGAGCTGTATTTTTAGTGGGCAAATTGAGCTGGGTGAGCTGGATTTATAGTGGTGCATGGAGCTGGGTGAGCTGGAATTTTAATGGTGTATGGAGCTGGGTGAGCTGGATATTTACTGGGCAACTGAGCTGGGTGAGCTGGATATTTACTGGGCAACTGAGCTGGGTGAGCTGTATTTTTAGTGGGAAAATTGAGCTGGGTGAGCTGGATTTATAGTGGGCAAATTGAGCTGGGTGAGTTGGATTTTTACTGGGAAAGTGAGCTGGGTGAGCTGGATTTATAGTGGTGTATGGAGCTGGGGGAGCTGGATTTTTAATGGTGTATGGATCTGGGTGAGCTGTATTTTTAGTGGGCAAATTGAGCTGGGTGAGCTGGATTTATAGTGGGCAAATTGAGCTGGGTGAGCTGTATTTTTAGTGGGCAAATTGAGCTGGGTGAGCTGGATGTATAGTGGGCAAATTGAGCTGGGTGAGCTGTATTTTTAGTGGGCAAATTGAGCTGGGTGAGCAGGATGTATAGTGGGCAAATTGAGCTGGGTGAGCTGGATT